TATATATATATATATATATATATATATATATATATATATATATATATATATATATATATATATATATATATGTATATATATATATATATATATATGTATATATATATATATATATATATGTATATATATATATATATATATATATATATACATATATATATATATATATATATACATATATATATATATATATATATATATATATATATATATATATATATATATATATATATATATATATATATACACACACACATATATATATATATATATATATATATATATATATATATATATATATATATATATACACACATATATATATATATATATATATACACACATATATATATATATATATATATATATATATATATATATATATATATATATATATATATATATTTATTTATAAATGTTTTTTGATACATTTCCTTGACATTTTTTAGAAAAGTTGTATAATTTTTGGGCTTGCACAAAATATTAATTTGAAGGCATTTATTATTTTGGAAAAGTGTTCTCATTAGCTATTTACAACTATTTCTAATTCTATTCTGTAAATTCTGCTCATTTGTGGGAAAATTTAGATGTTCAGTTAATAGACTAACTACCATCAAAAAGAATGTGATTTTCTAAAAAACAAGTTTGATAAATTAAAAATTCTCAAATTCAAAAAAATTATTGCTAGAGGCATTGCTCATGGTTTATTTGGCAATAAACCACAGGCTGAAACAAATTAATTGATTTGAAGCTATCAATAAACAAAAATCCTTATAGTTTATTTAAGAAGCTGCTATTTTATCAAAACAATAGATTATTTCACAATTTTTTGTGAAATAATCTATTGTTTTGATAAAATAACAGCTATTTTCACAATATTTTATGCAGTGAAAATGTTTTTTGCAGTATATAATTATTACTTGATGATTTCTAAATAAACCCCATATAAATTATATCAAAAGACAATTTAATTATTTAAATAGATTAAAATTTCGGCCTAATGTATAGGTAAAATCACCATTTTGTATGTAAATGCGTAACACTTCTTAACAAGCTGGTAATAAGTCTGGTAATAACCAGCCTGGTAATATAATTAACATTAAAGTGATGTCAGCAATGTAAATGAACCAAATTGATTTAGTTGTGACAGTTTTTTGGATTTTTGTTGATGAATTTCATATTTAAATGATTTATAGACAACAAAAAGCACCATCATTTTACAGGTTGCACTGTTACTTATCTTTAAATAAATACTTGACTTGAAAAAATCAGAAACTGACTTTTTAATTTTCTTTGATTGTCAGTTAAGTTGGTTCTGTTTAGGATCCATGCTTACAGAAAATATGTTTTCTGTAAGTATGGTTTTGACACTTTTAAGTGATTCGATATAGACTATAGCTCTGCAACATTTGATAATTGTTGCAAAACATTCTTTTAGTCAAGGATATTGAACTTCCTGAATCAAAACCAAACTCACTCGTGGCTTCAATATATGAAACAAATTGTTCTTTATTTTTTGTTGTTGTTGTTGTTGTTGTTGTTTTTTTCAACATCTTTTACTTCCAACTTGGCTGCAAGCAACCACTAATAGAGTTGGAAGTTACTGGAAAAAAAAAAGAAAGATAACTTAAAAGATAGCAAATTATATGAATCAGGAAAGCAAGATAAAAGAAGCGAATTCCAAAGAACTGATGTTTGAGGAAAAAACTAGACTAATAAGAGTTTTTGGAGCACTTAAGAATAGTCACAGAAAAAGGATGAGACTTGATTGAATGATGAGTAACACAAGAATAAATTTTAGTAGATGGCACAAGAGACGCTAGCTCTTTAGAGCAGTGCCCATTATAGTATTTGTAGAAAAGAGAAAGAGAAGCAACATTGCAATGATGTGATAATGGTTGGCTGCAAGTGCAGGTCCTACTACAGGGTTGCCACTCAACCTAGAAAACCTGGAATACCTGGAAATAGCATGAATCCCAGGGAAAACTTGGAAAACTCAGGGATTTTTTAAAATTTTCATAAAATTTAGGGAAAACTCAGGGAAAATTTTTTTTTTTTTTAAATTTTGTACAATAATTTTTTTTTTCAAAAATATTTTGCTAATACATATAAAAAAAAGTTTGCAAGATGTTGGTGTTTTTGTAAAAGTTTTAGTTTGTCAAATATAAAGGTTGTGTTTAATTAAGAAAAATAAATAAATCAGGGAAAACTCAGGTAACTTAAAGAGTTCAACTCAGGGAAAAATGTTCTTTACTCAGGGAAAACTCAGGGAAAAACTTTGAAAATTACAGTGGCAACACTGTACTATGTTTACAATGCAATTTTTGCACATTGTCTAAAAAAGAAAGGGCATCCTTGAAAGATCTGCCCCATTGGAGGATCCAGATATGGGAACAGTATTCCATACAAGGATGGATTTGAGATTTATAGAGATAAAGAATAGAATGAGGAGTAAGAAAGTGGCTCGATTGCAAATTTTGCAATCGTTTTGATATATGGTTTCCAAGAAAGATCAGAAGTAAGAGTTAATCCTAGAAGATGAAGGGTAAATGACTCATCAAGTCCATTACCATTCATAAAAGTAGGAAGATCTAAATTATTGCTACAACGATTGGCTGAAAAAAATTGAGTTATTTATCTGAATTAGCAGTAAGCAACCCATAATACAGGTTGTTAGTAAATAAAATTTAAAAAAAAACTGCAAATAGAAAAGCCTAGAAACTACTTTAAAATAGAAAAGCCTAGAAAATGACATATGTCGACTATTAACTACTACTATTAAATTAGCGTATTAATATTATCAGATTAAAGTTCACCAGCCACTGTGTACCCCATGTTGTAGCAGAATTGAGATCTTTTTCAAGCTCATATACCCCTCCAAGCAATCAGGGAGTGTTGGCTTCTTAAGACAAGACAATAAATGGTAGTATCATCAGCAAACAATGCAACCTTAGATATAAGAATATCTGGAAGATCATTAATGTAAATTAAAAAGAGTATAGGGCCAAGGATAGAACCTTAAGGAACCCCTAAAGTTACAGGATATGAAGAAGAGTGATGTCTGTTGAGGACAACTTTTATACTACAATTGGAAAGGAAGGATTCAATAATTTTAAAGATGTTACCTGATACACGGTAAGAATAAAGCTTATGGAGAAGACCATCATGCCAAACTTTATCAAAAGCTTTAGAAATCTCAAGAGCGATAGCCTTAACCTCTCCACCTCTATCTAATGTACAATAAAACCTATCGATTATTACTGTTAGCAAATTGGCTGTAGAACGAGAAGATCGAAATCCATATTGAGGATCAGAAAGTAAGTTATTAGATTTAATATGACAGATTAAGTGTTTGTTAATTAAAGATTCAAAAATTTTGCTTATAATAGAAAGAAGACTAATGGGACAGTAGTTAGACAAATCAGATCGCTCTCCAGAATTTTTGAAAATAAGGATAACGATGCTACTTTCCAGCAGGCTGGAAAACAAGACTGATAAGCGCTTGTTGAATAGTTTTGAAAGTATAGACGACAGCTCTGGAGAACACTTCTGCAAGGCTATAACAGGTATGTTGTCCGGGCCACAAGCTGTAGAAGAGTCTAAGCAGGAAGTCACTTTAGATTCAAAAGCTGGAGTGATATGAATGTCAAGCAATCGATTAACCTGTTTGACAGCTATATCAGGTAGAATGCAACTAGTGGAATTAAGAGATGATATTGATGAAAAGTTCTTAGCAACAGTTCAGCTTTATCTTTAGCTAAGGTGACAAAGTCTGAACCATACAAGAGAGGTGGAATTACAGATTTTCCCTTATTATTGATATTATTAAATATTCTTCAGAAGTCACGAGAGCCTAATTTTTGTGATGAAATACAAGATTTCATGACCTGAAAATAGCGGGCTTTGTGGTCAGACAAAACCTTTTTACAATTTTCTAGTAATAGTAAGCAGACATCTGTTTTCTGGAGAATTTTTTTGCTAATAGATATGGAAGTAATGGTTTCAATTGGAAATTGCAACAGCACAATGTGAGGTTAACCAAGGAGAAGAGTGAGGCTTGATTTGGAATCGTCAAAAGAGAATAAATGATTCCATGCAAGCCTGAATCCAAGAAGTTATGTGAGGAGCATATTTTTCAACAGGAAGACAAAAGATTTCTACCTAAGGTCCATCAAGAAGAAAATCTTTTTTGAAAATTTGATGTAAGTGCTCTAGTTTAGTGTGGTAAAAAAATTACACTAAAAAAATCTTTTTAATTCTCTTTCAAGTTAACTTTAAAAGAAAACTTAAACAGCCTGGTTTTTATTTTCCAAACTTCTTTTTAAACTTTTTATTTTCTATCTTATTTAAGAAGTTATTTAAACTTCCTGAGTTAATGGGAAACCAATGTCATCTTGAACTTCCTGAGTTAATGGGAAACCAATGTCATGGAACATAGGATTCTTCTTTGCTTTTTAAGAACAATATTGTAAAGATTTCGAGAACTGACTTTCTGATACAGTGATAAGTTTTATTTTGCTACAATCAATTATGCTACAATTTTTGCTACAGTTATGTTATTTCTAAAGATAACTTATAACATTAGAAATTCACAATTAAAAAAAGATTTTAATTATTGTGATTATTTTGTTTGAAAAAGTCATTCATTACTGTTAAAAGTGCTGTTAGGGCAGTTATGAACAAAATAAAATTGGGCATTTTGTAAAGATTAAACGCTTTTTTAATATCAAAAGATGTAGTTTGGTGTGTGTGTGTGTGTGTATATGTGTGTATATATATATATATATATATATATATATATATATATATATATATATATATATATATATATATATATATATATATATATATATATATATATATATATATATATATATATATATATATATATATATATATATATATATATATATATAATATATATATATATATATAATTATTCTCGAATAAGTATTTGTTTATTTAATCGATTTTAATTTTAAACTCTTGCATTTCTTTAGGGAATGTATTTTTGAAACACGGACAAGAATTGCGTCTCATACCACGCGACAGAGTTGGAATGCTATAAAAATAAATCCACAAAATATATTTATTTATTTAATTGCATGTTAATTTTTAATTAGTATTTTTTTTTGTTTTTTTTGTTTGTTAGTGTCATTATATTATGTTAAAGAATTGAAATCTTATCATAGTTTTTCATATATCATCTCACTTTATCACTTTATCATATATCATCTCAAAATGTTTTTTAAAAATTTTCTTAAAAAAATCAAAAGTATTTCTTCATTATAAAACTAAAACTACGTACAAACTTAATCTAATCTAAGATGCCAAGAATGCGTGTCTTCCTGTTATAATAACATAGCTGACAACAAAAATATCAAATAATCCTCTCCTAGAGGCGCAGTAAAAAACTGACTAACCCTGAAAACAAGAAAATGTGCCCAAAACTTAAAACTGACAAACTGTTTAATCTGTTTTTTAATCTAAATTTTTATTTTCTTGTATTTTTTGTCAACACTTCTTTACAAACAAAGCACTTTTAAATAAAAGTTTTTCTGAAATGTATAATTTATTCATCTCTACTTGTGTTTATACTTCCTGAAGCCAAAATTAAAAATAAAAATAAAATCAATGGAAAACTCACAGGGTAATCACATATCTGAAAATCAAGTGACCAACTCAAACATGTCTGATGGTGGGATGGTTACCTTTACTAAGATTTTTTTAATTTATGAGATTTTAAATGTGACAAATCTAATGGTAGCTAATTGTAGTTAATAATACTTATGGTACTACTAATGCAGCTATGTAATACTAATTGTAATAATACTAATAAGTAATAATAACTAATAGTAGTATTAATAACTAATAGTAGCTTATTGAGTTCTTGAGAGAAGAAACTATAAAAAATATATAACATGTATTTTGAAAAAACGTGGTATTGTGGCATGCATTACATCGAACAAAAAATATATTTGATAATAGAAATCAGGTTTCGCCTAATTCAGTATAAAAATAAACAGTTTAGTTGAATCAATAGCAATCAAATAAGCTTTCGATAAATGAATCAGCAAAAAGAAGTTGACTATCAAAAAAGTTTGATGAATTTAGTTTTCACACTAAAAGACGGCTGGTAGCAAAATATGAATCAGTGAATACATAAAACGTTTTAAGTAATTTTTTTTAATATTTGACTTTTTGATGAAAATTTGTTCTTTGAAGACAGTTTCACCATTGTATAGTAAAACTTTCCAAGTCAGACCTTTTCGTACACGTTGAATAGAGAGCTGAAAGATTTTTTTTTTGAATTTATTAAAGTAATAATTTTGGATTTAATACGTTTTTTCTCGTTTCCCGAAAAAATAGTATTTGTGACTTAAAACGTTTTTGTATACATCGATTTATTTGATTCATTAACGGCTCCTTCGCCAAAATATTGTTAGCTTCACTAAGAACAGCATTTAATAAACGATATCGTAATTTAGTCAAATTACTTAGTGTCATAACTAAGAGGCAACACAGAAATAATTTTTGCTTTACTTTCAGCTAAACACGTTTGTAAGATAAAATGACGTTTGAAGAAGTTGTTGCATACTCGGATAATAAACTTTAAAAAAGTATTTATTCTTGGGCGCCTAATGCATGATCAGGAGTGGGGGGGGGGGGTTGCCTATACCTAATAAACTGGGGGTCTAAATAAAAGTATGGATGAGAATTTTTTACAGAACAAAAAAATTTTAATTCTAGATATCAAATACGCATTTTTTAACAGCTGTATAATTCAATAGGATTTCACATAGTTATATCAGTTTTATATTATGGCGATAAATAAATGATTACCTAAATTTTGAAAAATTGAAGTTTAAAATATTGTCAACGATTTTTAAAATCTAAAAAATCTTTTTGCAGATTCCCTTAATAGCGCTATTTGGCGTATATCTGTCTATATAAAAAGTTAATTAAGTAAACTCAGAAATAATTTTTTTGTAATTAGCTTTGTAATTATTATTTCTACTGTTATATATATATATATATATATATATATATATATATATATATATATATATATATATATATATATATATATTTTACTTTTTATTATTATTTTTTTAAATTTATTACAATCATTTTTTCAAACTAAGAATATGCAGCTTTGCTTGCCGTTTTTCAAACGACGATATTCCATTTAAGTCTTTTAATTTTTGATTTTTCAAGTTTTTCCATATTTTGGGGCCTTGCGACATAATTGAAAATTCAGATATAATAGTTATGGAAGCTATTTGATCGCAGATTATAACTTTGAGAAAATGATGACGAAGATGTCTAAAAAATAATTTGGTAGCATATTATTTTTATATTTGAACATAAATATAAGAATCTGATATAAATTAAGTTTTTCCAACTTTAAGACTTTCATATTTGTCATCGCATTGAAAGGATTGTCCATTCTACCTAGAATTACTTTACAAGCATGGTTTTACAAGCCTTGTAGTTTGATTAATTTTGTTTTGTGTGTATTTTTGTGTTAGCTCACAATATATTAGCATATGTGAGATGACAGTGAATTAGACTAAAGGAAAATTTTTTTCTTGAACAGAAATCAAGAAACGGGCAACATTTATATTAATTACCTATTGCAGATGATATTTTTGATTCAATGTGTCCAATATGATTTCTCCATGATAAATTTTTATCAATTTGAACACCAATAAAATTTGCATATTTTTCCCGTTTTATTGTTATGTTGTTAATGAGCAACTCTGGAATTTTTAACGGTAAAGAGATTGATTGACCTGTTTTATGAGATAAGATGTAGTTAGTTTTTTCACAGTTTATTAGCTCGAAATCATAAATTAAAATTTTCCAGTTCAGTATTCCTTGTTCCGAACATCGATTTTAAATTACTATGATTATAAAATATAAATGTTTCATCAACATACGTTATTGAAGATACTATAAATTATCAAACTTGTAAGCTGACAGTAAAGACAAACAAAAAAGATATTGTAATAAATGATGCTTTATGCATATCATTTATGTAAATTAAAAACAATAACGGTCCTAAGATTGAGTCTTGAGGGACCCCACACTCAATATCAAGAACACTTGACTCTTTGTTAATTACAAACTGCTTTCTGTTACTCTGTTTTTTACCCATTTATACATTAGTCCTTTGATACCATAATGTTGAAATTTTGATAGTAAGATGTTGTGGTCAACTGTATGAAATGCCTTTGAAAGGTCTATAAATACTCCCAGTAAATGATCTCCTTTATCAAAAAATTGAATTATTTTATTAGTAAGTTCAATGATAGCGTGTACTGTTGAGCAACTTTTTTGAAAACCAAATTGATTTTCATATAAAAGTTTCTTTAACTTCAAGTAATTATAAATTCGTAATTGTAGATTACTTTTTCATAAACTTTAGAGAACACTGGTAGGAGGGAAATTGAACGGTAATTAGACGTATTATTACAATCTCCATTTTTATAAACAGGATTGACTTTAGCAACTTTTAACATATCAGGAAAAGTACTGTGTTCAAAAGAATATGATATTAGATGAAATAAAGGTTTTCTAATACATTCAATGACGTGTATTGCTACATTGGTAGTAGCGTCATCATATCAGCATAACTTATTTTATTTTAGTTCAGTCAGAGCTTTATTAAATTCTTTATAGCATATTTTTTCATTTGATATAAACGAAAGGGGTTTTTCTCCAATAAATCCATCAAACTTCTTATTTGGCAACACTATTTTTGAAGCTAGACTGGGACCAAGATTTACAAAGTGTTTCTTAAGTTCATGGTAAATATTTAATTTATTTGCGATGTATTTATTATCACAAAATATTTTTGGAGGTACGTTAAAGGATTTCTTTTTTTCTCTACCAGTTACTTCTTTTATAATCGACCATGTTTTTTTTATGTCTAACTTATTTTTATTTAGCAGATTAGAATAATACATTTTTTAAGCTTGTCTAATATTTTTTTGAAAAAACTGTTCATAGGCTTTCTATGTTTTTTCATCACCTTCATCCTTTGATTTCAAAAATCTTATATAAAGTTTTTACTTTATATAAGATTTTTGAAATCAAAGGATTTCAAAAGTCTTATATAAAGTTAAAAATTCCATGGATTATCATCCATGGATTTTTTAACTCTTTATTTTTTGCTTCAGATGTTATTATTAGACAGACAGTATCAAAAATACATTTAAAAGTAGCCATAAAGTTATTAAACGCCTGATTTTGATCCTTAGCTGAGTATACATTTTTCCAGGACTCCTCAAACAGTTTATTTTTCAAACTATTGAGATTTTTTTTAATAAAGTTTCTTTTAGTGACAAGACATTTTTTATTATCACTATTAGATAGAATACCACGTGCAATGTGAAAAATGGGGAAATGATCAGAAAAATCAGCAATTAAAATAGCTGATTCAAAATCAGAATTATAAAAGTTGGTTTTTAAAATATTGTCAATGGCAGATGTTTTTTGCGTAATTCTTGTTGGTTTAAAAATAGTAGGAATTATATTAAATTCATGTAATGAATCAAAAAAAGATTTAATGTTAGAAAACTTTTCGTAATGTAAAGTATCTATATTTAAATCACCTGCAAAAAATAAATACTTATCATGTTTACACATTCGTGATGTTATGTTTTTTAAGCTATTTTTTATTTTCAAAATTATTTTGAATTCCACAAGGTGGTCGATATAATGAGGAATTAAGTAATGATTTGTTAGTTTTATTCAAAACTTCTATGCTTAAGGTTTATATATGTTTATTTGTTTTGCAATATGCTTTTCTTTTTTTAAATTCAAATTTTTCACGAATATAGATTGCGACTCCGCCTCCCAGGGCCGCCGAGAGCCTTCAAGCCGCCCGGGACAACAACTTTTTTGGCACCCTTATGGATTTCGTTTTTTTTCTTTTTTTTCCAGTTAATAAGGTGCTCTAAGAAGTTCTAATGGTTTTGTCACAGAGCACCGCCACAAGGAGAACAGCATTTATTAAGTTGGCTCTCCGTTTCCAACTTCACCGATAACGTTTATGTGCTTCGAGCTGGGATCGAACCCGCAACCCTTGAGTCACGAGCCCAATGCTCTAAC